ATCGTCGAATCATCAGGATGGAATGAGAGGTAGAGTTGAGTGTCATCAGCATAGCAGTGATAGGTTCCTGAGATGCCCTTTGCCAATAGGGTTGACAGGAGGATCTGGTGGTTAACCGTGTCAAAAGCAGTGGACAGATCCAGCAAGATAAGTATTGAAGATTTGGAATCTGCTCTTGCAAGTCTTAGGGTTTCAACAACTGAGAGCAAGGCAGTCTCGGTTGAATGTCCACTTCTGAAACCAGACTGGTTGCTGTCGAGGAGGTTGTTCTGTGTGAGAAAGGCAGATACTTGGTTGAACACAGCTCGTTCAAGTGTTTTTGCAATGAAAGGAAGAAGGGAAACTGCTCTGTAGTTCTCTAAAAGAGATGGGTTAATGGTGGGTTTCTTAACTAATGGGGTTATACGAGCCTGTCTAAATGATGAGGGAAAAACACCAGTGTGAAGGGATGTGTTAATGATGTGAGTGAGTGAAGGTACAACTGCAGGAGAAATGGCTTTATATATAAAATAAATTATCAATATTCTTATGACATGAGTTGTTATTATGAAAATCTGGCCAATTATTATTCCCATTATTACACTTCTTTTTTCAACATGCTGTCCTAACAGCACATTAATATGCAAATGATATAGTGTATACATTGCGTTTAATGGGAAAACCAGTTTATGGAAATTTTACACACATATTGCATAAAGCAAAATGGTATATCTAATAATTTTGTTATATATTTTATAACAGTTGAGAATCATCCTTATACAAAGTTTGGTATAAAAAAAATCCTGAAACCTAAAAAAATCCCATTGTATTTGCCTTTCATGCCTATTCATGTCATTCTATTTTTTAGAAAAACTGAGTCCTGGTGTTTTCTACAGAAGACATAGCATAACATGAATAAAATATCATTTTTAAAAAATGTTATTTTTCCTTTTTTTTTCTTATGCTCTAAAAAAATGTAAACACATGAAAAATACTAAATTCACAAAGTTTTTTTTTTCTGGTTCTCAGGAGGATATTTCTATATTCAACACTTTATATTTAAAACATTAATCTCACAACATTGTTATTATGAAATGCATTAATGCCACCTCTGAGCCTCATTAAATAGTCTGTAAATATTCCTTAATGCCACATTTGTGTTCTTCTGTGCCACCTCCTAGTGCAAAGATGAATTGTTGATGCTGATTTCATTTGACTGGTAACTTATTTTTTCCTGATTGTATCTGATTATTTTAATTGAATTCACTGTTTAATTAAAATTTTTGATAAAAGTTGATAAATCTATTTTTTTGGCACAAAAGATGACAGACATTAAATAAAGTTAGAAAAATGGCATAACAAAATTAAAAAAAAGCCCTGCAAATCTCTTTAAGGAGTCAAATATCACCTCATATGGGAAGGTTAATTTCTGTCATTGATCAGAAAGTGTTCCTAAATTTAAGTAGGAGCAGATGTGCTCCTAAAAAGAAATGTAAGCGTAGAGTCCTGAAGAATGTAATGTTGCCTTTTAAAAACTAATTGCAAATGTTAATGCAAAGTGTAAACTAAATAATACTTAAATATAATCTACAAATGATGGAATACTGTATGTACCACTAAATAAAAAGTGTTTTGAGGGCTTAGCTAATCAGACCAATTACAGACAATTATTAATCATTTTCATTTTTTATGAAATCATTTTCATTTCACGAATCAATCTTTTTTTTTTTTTGTAATTAAACACAAAGGGTCATTAATGATGCTTACATTATAACGTGCAAATTCACACACAACATATCTTTAATTTGGCAGGAATTGCAGGGTGCCTACCTTTAGAGAAAATATGAAATAATTTTTAATGTTATTTTAGATTATAAAGGGTTTTATTATTAAATGCATCTGAAAGGTCATCTAAAATTACCATTATTACCCCCCCCCACTCCAAGCTAGAGTCCCCAAGTGAATTTTGGCCATTTCAACCGCTGCTTACATCCAAAAACACACTTCTGTAGAGACATTCTTCCCGAGCGAGTCTTGTGCAGCACTGCTGAATGAAACGCGTTGATGGGCGCGCTCTTGATCTCGCTCTGGTCGATGCGGCTGCGCTCTT